GAAACCAAACTGGTCTCAAGTAGAATGACTCAAAAGTCAGCCAAGATTATCTTTAGAAGGGTACCAGGCTCAAGCCAGTATGTGACAGGCCCAGCTCCTACAAATAATGTGTAGAGAGGGATGCAGCCTCTTTCTGGGCCAACCATGCCTCTGTGACTCAGTTTCCTCACTTGAGTTCCTCAGTCAGTCATGAAAATAGCAGCGAATACATGGGATAGACTGAGAAAAGATGCAACTCACAGGAATAAATTCAAAGGTGTCATCAGTGCACAGGGAGGGCTGGACTGGGGAGGATCCATGATTCCTCCTTCAGAAGTCACCAACAGTTGGAGATAGTGGTATCCAGGCCAACACACACACACACACACACACACACACACACACACACACACACACACACACACACCACTTGCCTTAAAAAGAAGTACCAGCAATCAGAGCCCAGTCCCCAGGAGCAGAATACTGATCTTAAGAACACAGGAGTGTGTCAACATGGGGATCATTTATACCATCACTGCATGACAAAGCTTGAAATGGGGACCTGTGCATATGACAAAGGCAGTTCCCCCCAGGCACCCAGTATCAGCTCAGGGACCCTAAGGACTGCAGGACACACCACACCTTCCCCCTGCAGTAAGTGTGTGTGCTTGGTTTCCGCACTTGGCGGCCCAGTCCACATGAGTCAGCAAATCCCCTTGCACTGTTCCTGCTGCAGAGGAGACTGGGCCACGTTTCTGTGAGGCTGACCTCGAGAGGAGCCACAGTCCTTGGAACCAGCCCTCCCAACATAAACACATACTGTTTAGGAAAGCACATTGCGCACTTTTTGACATTTGCCATTGTTTTGCTCCCAGAAAGCCCTGTGAGACTCCCACCTTCTGTAACCTACTCACCCCAGGAAACACATTCCCAGGCTCCAGCTGCAGAGAGTGCCCACCAGGAAGACAACCTGCCCTCTGCAGGGAACGGGCATGCCTCAAGCTGTCCTGTCACTTAGAGTCAAGTCAGGGGCCGAGTCACTCTCAAAGGTACTTGTGGGAACAGGCGTCTGTTCTCATTTTCACTAACTAACCTGGGTCCTCCACTTTAGCACACAGCCAGGGACAGATAGCAAGGGGACAGCTGAGTGGCCACACATCAGGGCTCACAGTGCCCCTCTATGCTGAAGAAAGGGTCACTTTTGGCCCCAGGGAGTCAGGGTGAGGATGCCTGGGTTCAGCACATCAGCAGGAGGTCCAGCCTGACCCAACCCCTCACCACCACCTTAAGCCCTGTCAGTTGCCTTTCTGCCAGTCCCTTGGTCATTGGGTGGCACTTGGTGGCACTTGCTCAGCTGGGGAGCAACTAGGCTATCCCTAAGGAAGTGCTAGCAGTGGGCTGTTCCAGCTACAGGTCCTGTAGACAGGAGCTTCTGGACTGCAGTTGACTCCCAAGCAATCCCCACCCTGTGACATCAAGGGATGAAGCCTGGCTTTCCTGCCCACAGGCTGTGGAATGCAAAGGCATCCACATTAGACCAGGAACCCCAGTGCCCAGTTTTAGTACCTGACGTGAGCCTGAAGAAGCAGGGTTACAGGTGCTGTGTCCACTGTGCTGATGCTCCCAGGATGGTCTCTGCCCAGGGTTCCTGACTGGAGTGTGTAGCCCATGTGCACCCTACAGGGCTCCCATTGTCCAGCCGCCTCTGCCAGCATCACTTCCTGTGACCCTGTGCCAAGTGCTTGTTGCGCCCCCACCTCCTTGCAACTCTGGTATGGTATTTGATATCATCAAGCTACCTCTCCACCCTGTCACCTTCCCGAGGTGACCTGAGATAGCCCATGTGTCTCCCACCCACTTTCACTTCAGAGCCACCCCAATTGTGTGAACAATACTCGGACATGGAGATGAGAGTGGGCAGAGCCCTCCCCAGGCACAGAGTCCCAGTTCCAGCCCTCCATTTGCCCCTCTCTGAATAGGACCCTGTGCCTCCCCCACACTGCAGCCCTGTTCCCTGGGGCCAGGTTTCAGATTCTTCCCTTCTCACAGCTGCTCCAGCTGGGGTTCAGGGCACTGTCCCTGTGTCCACACCCCTGCACTCAGGGCTCTACTTGTTCAGGTGGGGTAAGGGGCCTGGTGCTGTGCCTTGGACATCTGTGGGGACAGATGAGGTTCCAGGGCCCACGGAAGTCACAGCACTGGTGTTGCCAGGTACTGCCTGAGGCCCACTAAATTGCTCCTGCCTGGGTCTTGGGTGTTCCTGTACTCAGGAGATGGGGTAAGTGACAGCCAGTGGCATAGAGGTCAAGGCTGCATTGAGTTCCTGGGCACAGGCATGCATTTGTGTAAGTGAGCATGTGTGCACATCTACACAGCTTCACTCTGTCATGCTATCTTCACCAAAAGGCAGCAGAGTTATGCAGGAGAGCAGCCTCCTTCTGCCCTCTTGTGGTAGTATCAGGAGAGCCTGCCCTAGAGTCATCCCCAGCTGTGGGCCCCAGTGTGGGTCAAACAGGTACCCTGTGGGCATTATGTCTTGACACTGACTCAGACATACCTCCCAGGGAAGTCCTGCACAGACACAACCCAGGGTGGATGGCCAATGCGATTCCAGAGGCAGAAGGGGCTGTGAGGGACCCTTCCCATGGAGAATTCCTGGTGGACTCTGCTATCTTCAGAAGCAGCTGCAGAGGGGTCAGGGCACAGACAGAGTCTGCCCTGAACCACACTACTCTGAGTGGACTCCCCTGACCTCCACCCCTCAGGAGTAGACACTGTGGCCACCCTGTTATAAGTCAAGCATTTGCTGGAAAGAGGGGTGGGCCCTGGGTGGAGCTGGGGCATGGATGGAGGACCATGTGCCAAGGGAAGCACCGTGGTCCTGTTAGCCTCTGTGGTCAGGCTGACTCCTGGTTTGGGGTTCTCCTTGGTTGGCCTCTGTTGGGCAGTGCCAGTACCAGGCAGCAGGAAAATCACATCTCACAGCCCAATATACTAAAATCTTAAAAAGCAAGTACCTAGCTGGACATGGTGGTACATGCCTATAATCACACCATTCTAGGAGGCGGAGGTAGGAGGATCACAAGTTCAAGTTCAAGCTCCGTCCAGGGAATTTAGCAAATTAGAAAAACCCCATCTTAACATTTAAAAATTTAAAAAGGCTGGGATATAGCCCAGCGCAGAGACCCTGTGTTCAATCCTCAGTATCCCTTAATTGTTACAGGTTGATCAGGCCTGCAACCTCCCAAAGGAGTGGAGAGTGAAAGCTTCAATAAATGAGGCAAGTGGTATGATTTTAGGGCTCCAGGAGGATCAAAAACACTCTCACAGCCTTTGAGATTCTCTGGGTTCTAACCAAGAACTTCTCTGGGTGGCCCATATGTATTTTGGTTTTCAAACAAAGGAGGAAGATCCTGAAAACAACATGAGAATCTATCAGGACCTTAGAAATATTCTCCCAGTAGTAAATTATGCCAATCAGGAGAACTACCTGATCTTCAGGTTGAAATTTACTGTAGGAGTGTGGAATACTGTGAGCACAGCTGCAGTCTCCCTTTAGTTATTTGGGGCTGGAGCTAAACGTCCTCAACTTTGGCCTCATCTTGTCCTTTGTGGCGTCCCAACTTCACAGGCCAATTCAGGCCTCAGTTCGGACCAGGGACTCATAGAGATTCACGTACTGTGGGTCCACTGCCCTTCTCCAGTCAAGGTCCTAAGCCTTGGGCAAACTCACAGGTAAACATGAAAAGCCAATTGCTTAATATTAAATCCTGGGGCCAGGGAGATGACTCACTAGAATAAGTGCTTGCCTGACAAACGCAAGGGCCTGAGTTCAATCCCTGGTTCCTTAAAAAAAAAAAAAAAAAAAAAAAAAAAAATTAAATCCTGCTCAGAGCCACTTCATAGTGGTCTCCTTAGCCCCAGGACTTCCAGATTGCAAAGGAAGCAAGAACACATCCCCAGAAATCTCGATGCCTCCTCTGCTGCTGGGTGACAGTCAACACAGCCAAGCTAGGCTGCTGTCCCAGAGCTGTGCAACCTGCCCGGGGCTCCTGGTGGGAGAGCCTCAGAAGATATCCAGGAAAGCCTCTGTGTTCAAGGGCTGGGAAAACTCAATCCTCAGGCAAGAGGGCCACACAGAAGGGCCCCAGCCCCTCAGTGCACAGGAAAGCCAGCCTGGAGCACTTGGTCCCAAGTGTCTGAGGCAGGGTCCTCCACTGTGTACCTGAGGGTTAGAGGAGAGGCTGATGCAGTCTTCAAGAGAGGAGTCTCCACCACCTGTGTCTCTAATTCTGATACATGCAGAGCACAGGACATAGTTTATCTCTTTAAAAAAACGTGCCCTGCCCCTGCCTTTCTGTGTCCTGACCAGAAACAGGTGTCTCGTAGGTGGAGAATAGCCAGCTGCAGGCCTACCCCAGGGACGCGCAGGGAACGTGAGACGCTGATGTGGGTGTTCACAGCAAATCCTCAGAGCAAGCTCCTTATAGCATAATCTGCAGTCCACAGCCAGCCTCCTGACCAGGTAAAAGGTCTAGAGGAGGTCGGCGGTTAGGGTATGTGGAATATGGGGGGAGTCCCTGGATGGTGTCTGGGCTGGGGACCCCATGCCCAGGAACGCGCGAGCCGGAAGGCGTCCTTAACCCCGGGCTGAGCCGACAAGGACGCTTTCCTGTCGCCGCCCGCATCATTGTCCCATGGTCACAGCCGCACAAGAGGCAGGTGGGGGGGGGGGTCACCCCAGGAAGACTCGCATCCACACAGGCGGGCTACCCAGATCACCAAGCCGCCCTCCCGCACCTGCTAGCACCCGGGGCTACGCCCATTATCCCGCGCCAAGGAAAACAGCGCAGGCCCCAAAGGCGCGCGTACCCGGAAAACCCGAAGACAGCGCACGCGCGCAAGGACGCAGTCTGTACACCCCCTGCGTTGCCATGGTTACAGGGGACGCGCAGGCGGCGGCGGGGGCGGAACAAGGGCAGGGGTGGAGGAGAGCGGAACAAGTGCGCGCTTCCGGGACGGGCTTGGGGCCGCCGGAATTGCGTGGCCGCCGGGGCCATGGCGGCGCTCGCCGTCCTGTGTCTGCTGGTCCAGGCAGCGTCCTGGCCGCTGGTCTTGGCCTCGGGCGAGGAGTTCTGGCCCGGCCAGTCGGCTGCGGACATTCTTTCGGGAGTGGCGTCCCGCAGACGGTAAGCGGGTCCCTGTGTCCACGCGTGCTTAACGGGACTGGGATCTAAGTCAGCAGGTACGGTCGCTGGGCCTGGGGTCAGCCGGTGAAGGTCTGGCCTTTCCACCAACTTCCCCATCTGCAGTGGGCGTGGCCCGACCTGCACCCCCACTTGGGTAGTTAGGGTCCTGGCACAGATGGGACTTCATGGCCTTGCCCATATGGATATTGGGGATGGTGATACCCTAGCGAATACCCAGGGAGGCTGCGACAGGATTGGCATGGAGGGTCACAGCACAGCCGAACCGATTCCCAGTGTCGGAGACCCCAGAGTGATCTGAACCTGACTCATTCATTCCAGGACACCTCACCTATGATATCGAGGCTGACTGCAAGTAGAACAGGAGAGCCCAGCGATTGCTGGACCCCAAAGAAATCTGCAAAAATCAGTAACATCACCAGTCATTTCCCTCCTTACTTGTTTTGAAACATTGTTGAAATGTTTCAAAAAACTATCTTATTCACATGCAAGGCATTCTTTTTCACGGAATTAAAAAGCACTTCTAGCTTTAACTCCTGGCACAGGAACTATCAGTAGATTTAACACACAAACCACTGCCCTTCTGGTCCCTCAGTGATTGCTCAAAGGGGTCTTTAGATCATGCACTTGGAGGACTTTTAAGAACAGTGATTCTGAGATTTCACTGGCATTGCATATTAATGGGCCTTAGGATAGCTGCTCTTTTTACTTGGGGGCTCTGCAAATAATCGCCACAAAGAAACTGGCTGCTGCCTCACTTGGAAACTAGAAATAGTGGGAAGTGAGGCACTGTGAGTGAAGCCGAAGCTGGGGTCCTGTGCAGGGCCTGGTGCTCAGGAACCACATGTGCCTCCTGTCCAGGTATCTCCTGTACGATGTCAACCCCCCAGAAGGCTTCAACCTCCGCAGAGATGTCTATATCCGCGTGGCTTCCCTGCTAAAGACACTGCTGAAGACTGAGGAATGGGTGCTCGTCCTGCCCCCATGGGGCCGCCTCTATCACTGGCAGAGTCCCGACATCCACCAGATCCGGATTCCCTGGTCTGAGTTTTTTGATCTTCCAAGTCTCAACAGGAACATCCCCGTCATCGAGTATGAGCAGTTCATTGCAGGTGAGGCCTCGGGGGCCGTGATGTAGCAGAGACCTAGAGGTTCACTCCAGCGGGGCACTCCACCCTGTCCACCAGTTTTACCTTCAGGCCGGCTGCAGTGCAGTGCTTTCCCAGTTTCTCTAGGCAAATAGGGCTGACGTGCATGGAAGCAGCCAGTGCATCCAGAGCTTGGTGTGAAAGCAGCGGCCTGGGGTGCTGTCCCGGAAGGATGCGCCCCTGAAAGGCCAAGAGGCTGTCTGATGTGCTTGACGGCATCTGTGGAATACCTCTTGTTTAGCTTCCTGCTGTTTCCTCCTTTCTTTTCGGTTTTTCTGACAGGAATAAAGCTTTTCTTAGAACAAAAGTATTTAGAGCTAACTGGCTTTGGCTACAAGGCCCCAAAGGGAGAGGGAAGGTTTCCTGGAGAGGCCTGCATGCAGTGGCCGATATGCGTGGCTCACCATGTTCTCACCGTGCACAGGCTCTGCCCCTAGGCCTGGGCTCTTCACAGGTGGTTCCTTCATGGTCTGGCTGCCCCATGGATCTTGTCACGTGGGGAAATAGAGCCTGCACTGCAGGCTCCCAGGCAGACACTGACTTCCTCGCAACCCATCAAGCTGGCTGGGCCTCTGGGAACACTGGGACTACAAATGCTCGGAGAGTATCTTCTGATGTTCTCACTCAGGCTGGGATGCAGTTGTGAACCTCATGAAACTTGTTTTTGGCCTGCACCCCTCTTACCCACCTTTTACGTGTGCTCACATATGCTGGAAAATGAGCTGCGGTTGGGTAGGCAGGCTGCCTGGCTTCAACCTAGAGAATACTCGAACTCAGACCCTGGTTTGAATCACGGTCCAAGGATCTAAGAATCTGTCTTTTCCTTGCCTCCCTATAAGGCCCAGTTTTCTCAGGGTGGGAAAGATGTGGTCTGGGTGCTCAGCAGGGTAGTGTGTGACACCTGGAAATGACAAGGCTGCCCTTCCCCTTGTCCCCACATCCTTCCATCTGGAGCACATGAGGAAACAGAGCCTGTACTGCAGACTCCCAAGCAGACACTGGCTTCCTTGCAACCCATCTTAAGCTGGCTGGGCCCCTGCTGAGTGCAGATGGCCATGTGGGATGGCACTTGTGACAGGTCCAGCATGATGCCTGCCCTTTAGCACCTTCCCTTCCTCTCAGCCCTGAGGGAGCAGGATCCTTGGACCACAGCCATGCAGCTGCTCCTGAATGAAACCGCTGAATCTCACTGGTTTCTCTTAGCCAGCTATGTTCACCCCTTCTCTAGAAGGTCCTGACTGGCACTCATATGTGGCAGGTGGTTCCTCCACTGTGAGTGGAAACAGCGGACAAGGGGACACCAGCCCTCTTGGAGGCCTTCAAGGGGGAGCTAGCAAGTGGGATATTAGTAGAGTGTATGGGCCACTGGGTGTTGGGTGGACATGCATGGAAGCAGCCCAGGAGCAGAGGGAGGAGGTTCTCAGCAGAGGAGTGAGGTTGAGCACTGGGCATAGGAAGAACAAAGGGCACCATGCAGGGACCTGGGCAGAGACGGGCCATCCTGCTGTGCGCCCTACTGCCCTCCAGGCCTATGTGCTGATGACATTGATCCCCCTACACCTTCCTCTGGTCCTCTGGGGACCAGGCAGTTCTAAAGAGAGCATGAGAGTCTGTGTGACAGCTTTTGGTGGTCACTGCTGCACTGTTCTTCTGCTCTTCCTCAGAGTCTGGTGGGCCCTTCATCGACCACGTGTACGTCCTGCAGGGTTATGCAGAAGGCTGGAAGGAAGGCACCTGGGAGGAGAAGGTGGACGCACGTCCCTGCATTGACCCGCTGCTCTACTCCCAGGACAAGCATGAGTACTACAGGTAGCACTGTGGGCTCAGGCTTACCACACTCAGCTCATGTTGCTCACTATCCTGAGGCCCAGGCTGGTAGAGGCCACGTCATGCCATATCACAGACGAGGGGACTGGGTCTGTTGTAAAGACCTCTGTCCAAGACACACTCAGCTCTTACCTCTTTTATTTTGCAGTGCTAGGCCTTGAACCCAAGGCCTGTGCTTGCTGGGCCAGTGCTCTACCACTGAGCTATGGTCTCAGCCCTTTTGATCCTTTGAGACAGGGTCTCACAAAGTTTACCAGGCTGGGGTCCAATTTGTCCTCCTGGCTCAGCCTCCCTAGCAGCTGGGAATACAGTTATGGGCCACTACACTTGGCTTCACTGCCTTTTCTTAATGCACTTGAGCATAGCATGAGGTTGGTGGTCTTAGCTTATGATGTCAGTCACCATCTGAGGCTCAGGTCTCAGTTAACCTCCACAAAGATAGGTTGTGTCTCTCACCCTCCTCCCTGTGTAGCATTTCAGCTGATCTGAGGGGAGAGGCGCTTTTCTGCTGGTGTTGAGGTGTGGGCTAGCTTCTGTTCTGCTCTTCCTCAGCTCACAGATTGTCTCTCAGTGCTCAGTCTAGAGTCTCAGTTGTTTTCATAAAAACGTCCATGTCCATGTGAGCTGCTCCCAGGGAAAGCAGTGAGTGGATCCAGTGCATCCACTCAGATGTAAATGAGCTCACTTTCTTCCTGTGAGTGTGTATGACACGAGATTTCCTCTTTCAGGGGCTGGTTCTGGGGCTACGAAGAAACCCGGGGCTTGAATGTCTCCTGCCTCTCTGTCCAAGGTTCAGCATCTGTTGTGGCCCCTCTGCTGCTGAAGAACACGTCAGCCCGGTGAGTCCCCTGAGCTTTGTCCAACACTTCACTGGCTGCAGAAAATTCCAGAAGCTGGAGGCGGCCGAGGTCTGGGGCCTGGCGAGCTGTGTGTATGGGCATAGCCTTGCCCCTGGGATGCTGGCTGAACCTCAGTACCAGGCAGCAGGAGCAGGATTCACACCAGTCCCCGCCACAGTCTCCTTAAGATGATTGGGCCTGTGGGGCTAGCCAGATGTGGGCCGGAAGAGCAGCCCAGGAGTAGAGCAGAGAGGTGCCCAGCAAGAGGGCTGAGGCCAAGTGTAGAAGAGTGAAGTCAGCAGCTTGAGTGGTGGACCCTGCTGGCTCAGCACTTGGGCAGCCTAGCATACCTACCTCTCTGGTCTGGGTGTCAGAAAGTGTGCAGTGGGCTGGTGAGATGGCTCAGTGGTCTAAAGCACCTACTTAGAACAAGCTTAGCAAAGCACAGGGACCACGGTTCAATCCCCCAGCACCACATGCCAGCCAGCCCCGCCCCCTGGTGGGCTGAGCTGGCCACACACACACACACACACACACACACACACACACACACACACACACACAAATAATTAAAAAAAAAGGAAGTGTGCAGTGACTACACAGCCATTGCAGGGGAGGGCAGTCCCTCTCCCCCGCCACTAGGTGGCAGTGCAGCCCTGGGAGCCTGTGACCTCTGTCTGGAGGACATCTAAGTGCTGTGTTCCTTGGAGTCCTTGGAGTTGCTGCAGGCTCCAAGTGGCTGTGGGAGCGTGAGGACCCTGAAGGCAGATACCCTTTGTGTACCCATGTCACTTTCCCTGGAGTCCCCTGCAGCAGACTTTCCCATTGCCCAAGACCAAGTTATTATTAATATTTTTTTTCTTTTGGGTACTGAGAGCTCTGCCTGGGTGCAACTATAGCAGGAGCAAGGTTGGGGGCAGCGCCTCTGCTGGGCAGTGGGCAGGAGGGACTGTGAGGGTCATTGTGTGCCCCATGAGCCCCAGGTTAGGCAGAAGGCCTAAGGCCGACAGCTCTCACAGGCCTGCGCTGCTACCTTAAACAGCACTGCAGGAAGACCAGCTGCCTCAGTATGTTAAGGTGGAAGACTTGCACCCACCGAAGACCAAGCTCCTCAAGGTCAGAAGCAAAGGACAGGCAGCCTGCAACAGAGTGAGCCAAAGGCAGGGCATGGCCTGGAAGGAGAGGCAGAACTGGAGGCAGGCATGAAATGTGCCTGGCCCGTGTCGGGGGAGCACTGGCCCTGGCACTGCTGGAAGGAGAGCCATGGCTGGACTGTCTGGGCAGAGCTGGAAAAGGCACTGTCTTACGCATGCCATGTGTGTACCCAGACCTGGGGCAGCACATCAGTGGAATCGGACCAGACGCCCAGCACCCTCAGCAGAGACAAAGGTAGTGAGTGATGTGCACCAGAGCAAAATGTTATCAGCTAAGACCACCCCGTTGTCGCTGTGTCAGCAAGATGTCAGGGCTACAGAGCCAGATACAACAAAGGAAATGGGTGCAGCTCTAAGGCAGGCTCAGCAGGCAGAGAGGAAGCTGTGTAGGGCCCGGTCCCTCCAGACTATTGTAGCCGCTTGCGCTGCATAGGTCTCCTCTGTGATGAAGCAGAAGCGCATTCCACCCACGCAGCCTGCCTCTGACCCCACCCCGACCTGTGCATGCTGTCTCCTGTTATTAAAGCCAGACAGATGCCGGCTCCTGCTCTCCATGTGTGGTGTTTAGCTTTCCCCCACCTCACTGTGGGGATGCAGCAGTCGCCACTGACTGTGGGGTTGACTCTGTACCAGCACTAGAGAACTGAGCCTTCCCAGGTGGGTGGCCCTTGTTGGCTCCAGGTCTGAGCTGTCACGAATAGGAAAAACTGTGTAGAAACACCTTCGTTCCCTACAGGCACAGGAATGGGGGCCACACCTGGAGCCCACGTGGCTGGTGCCTGTCCTGTGGGGCCCACAGAGCTGTTCTCCAGCACACGCTGGCTCTTGGGCTCTGACCTGTGAGACGGGGCTCTCTGGTTTCTTGTCTGTGCCCATCTGATTGTAGAGGAAGAGTACATTTAAAAGCCCTTTGATGGATGCAACTAAAGAACATACTCTTAAGTGAAATAAATTAAACTCACATGTGCAAAAAAAAAAAAAAAAAAAAAGCCCTTTGAAATGTTAACTCCTTAAAGCACCAGTTTAGACTTGTACCACTTTTTCTTTTGTAGTTAAATCAGTCACGCTGTTTCTGGGAGCTTCCAGGTCTTTTAATGCCAGCTGCTCCTTCCAGGTCTCCTAAAGTCTTTCTTCTGGATCAGTGATGGCAAACCTTTTAGAGACTGAGTGCCCAGACTGCAACTCAAAATCCACTTATTATCAAGTGCCAATGCTGCAGTTAAACCTAAATACTGAGATTTTTTTTTTTTATAGTTGTATTTTAGGGAAGGGTCTACAGGGTGTTCAGGGTCTCACTACTAGATCGGACTTAGAGTGATCCACCTGTTGACAGCCTCCCAAGAGCTGGGATTACAGGCGCGTGCCACCACACCCAGGCTCAATTGCTGTGTCAGTGAGTCCCATGGATGGGGACAGCACGGCAGTCCTGAGGATTGAACCCCTGGCCCTGCGCCTGCTTGCAGGCGCTTTAATCTGCTGAGCTATTTGGTCAGCCCTTGAGATTTTAGTTTAGAAAAAACAAATACTTGGCTTGTATGCTGACGGAGGGCTTTGCATGCCCATTGTGACACTCATACCATAGGTTCACCACCACTGTTGTCTGATTCCAGCTTTCATGCTGGTCGGAATGAAGGCTGGGTATGCCCACTGTGCCCATGCAGGTACTATGACCACCTTTCCAGCTGCTGTTGGGACAGAAGCTGGGCATTCAGTGGCACTGAGGCCCTGCCTGCTGCTGGAGGTGCAGATGGAGGACTCACTGCACGCAGGGTACTACCATGAGCCCAAGACATATGTCCAGGAGAGGGTGACCATGTCCTTGCATGAAGGTGGTTTTGTCATAGGTGTAGGCATGAACATATGCCCTGTGGCTTCTGCTATGCTGTCCTTACTGTTAACTTAAGTGATGACTTTTCTAATGTTGAACTATGTTTGTTTGTTTGTTTGTTTTTTATATTTAGCACACAGTCTGTAGGGTCTCACTACATAGATCGGACTCATAGTGATTCTCCTGTTTTCAGCCTCCCAAACACTGAAATTATAGGCACACCCCACCCGCCCAATCTCAGTTGCCATCTCAGTGCTGGGGATTGAACACCCAGCCCCTGTGGCTGCCTAAGCAGGTGCTTTAGTCCGCTGAGCCCTCATCTTTGTATTTCTGAAAGAACTCCCTTGTCATATATGTTGTTAACCTGTCTGTTTCCTTTTTCTGTCCCTCCACTGCCTCTCAGTCCCCAACTTGCCCAGGCACACCTGCTTTGGTCCTCTGCTGACTTTCCTTCAGGTTTCCCTGGCCCCTGGTTCTCCTTGCAGGGCTCTCAGAATCACATTTAACTGTGACAGTCCTTAAACTCTTCTAGGTCTGTGATGTTAGACAGAGCTGAAAACCTGCTTCACGACCACTATGGAGGAAAAGAATACTGGGATGTGAGTGTTTTCTAAGGGCTGCCTTTCTCCTTTGTTCCCACTGTGTGAACATGTGTAGTTTGTGGACATCTGAAACAGTAGCTCTTCCTTCTGTTGCTGAGGTGACAGCTCTCAGGAGCCCCAGGCTGGGCACCGAGCTGCATCTCCCCTTCCCTGGGAGCAGAAGTCCTGGTAGGCAGCTGTGCCGCATGATATGGACCCCACCATGGGTTCAGGGTCTCGAGAACACAGTGGCCCCTGCCTGCTGAGTGGCAGCCAGCCTTGGAACTGTCCTCTCCTCCCTTCTGCTCCATCAGTGGAGAGAGCTTAGAGCTTTATGCTGATTCCCCCTTTAGTTGGGCAAGGTAGGCTTTGTGCTGCACTAAGCCCTTACTGCTGGGACCCATTTTGCTAGGAGATGTGCCCTTGGTCATAGCTAAGGACACCAGAGTCAGCCTGAGTGGTTGGTTTGGCCAGAGCTGCCTCTGAGGGACCTTTTGCCTTGACCATAGCTTATAAAGCAGGTGTCTGGCTTGGAAAGGAGATGTAGTTGCTCAGTTTGGCCAAGATAAGAAGCCTGACACTGGGAGCCAGGTGGGTCTGAGGTGGATGGTGGCACACAGGCTCTTGCAGAGTCTTGCAGGTGGCCTGGGGTGGGGCAGCTCCACTTGAAGCAATCTTACTTGGAGCCTTCCCTGGTACCGGCAGCAGTGCTGCTCAGAGGCTGAGGGTGGTGTTCAGCCTGGGACTGGAAAGGCAGGGAGAGACCGAGGGCCCAGCTGGAGGGGCTGAGCAGCCTTGTCCTCAATGACCAGCTCCTGTGCCGATGGCTCAGGTAGTACTGGGTGGGATGGTGGCCTACAGCCTGTTTGCAAGGCCACACAGTGTGCAGCTGGACCCCTCTGCAGACCCGGCGGAGTATGGTGTTTGCCAAGCATCTGCGGGTGGCGGGAGACGAGTTCCGGAACAAGTTCCTCAACTCTAGTGATGCTATGGATGGCGCCCCTACGGAGGAAGACTGGACAAAGCTGAAGGTAATAAGCCCCATGCCCCCAGCGCTGAGGAGTCCGAGCAGGCCTGACACACCATCCTTTACCTCTTTTGAGGATGCTTTGCTGTGTCCCAGGTGTAAATCAGGGTAGTGACTGGCCTCCCCGAGTGCCTGGGCATGGCTTCTCCTCTGAGCCTGTCTCGGGTGCTCTCTTGAGTAAAGTTAGGACATTACAGCAGGCCCCAGCCCGAAGGGTTCTTAGCACGCAGTGAGATTTTAAAAACATGCAGGCTGATGTCAAGGACAGCAGTGGGAGCAGAGCACTGTTGGGCCCCGTGACATCCTTTTAAATTTTTTGAGTGGTTAAAGTATTTATTGGAAATCTTAATTCCTCCAAGGTGTAGTTTTACACTGATGCTTTTATTTCTGGTGCCTTTTGCTAATATTGTATAGCAGACCCTGTGTTCTCTGGGATGTCTGGGCTGTTTCCAAAGGGCATTGCTGGAGTAATCCTAGTGCTATGCTTGGATAGTCCTTACTGGGAAGAAGCCCTCAGTAGAAAGTATTTGCCCCCAGAGTTCCACCTACTGTTTTTTCACTCAGACAATAGGATGTATGGTAATTAAGTGCCTCTTTTAGGAAGTGATCTTCCCCCCCCCCCCGATTCTGGAGGGGATGCTGTGGAGGACACTGTGGGTGACACTCATCCCCTTCCCATCTCCAGATGCTACGTTGCAGTAGCTCTCACCTTCATCCTTTGTTAGGTCAAGCTGGGCTCCTCCCTCGGAGGCCCATACCTTGCCGTCCACCTGCGAAGGAAGGACTTTATCTGGGGACACAGGGAGGACGTGCCCAGCCTGGAGGGTGCCGCCAGGAAGATCCGCAGCCTAATGACGGTTCACCAGCTGCCCATGGTGTTTGTGGCCACGGATGCCATCAGGAAGGGTAGGGGGATTTGAACAGTGAGTCTGTTTTGTCCCTTTGGCCCCTGATTAAACACTTGGCAGACCTGGCACATGTCATCATCCTGTGTAGCTCCTAAGGGCAAAGCCAGGCCGTGTCCTCACCTCTTCCCCCGCAGCTGGAGACACAGGCTACAGACTCTGCCCAGACGTGTCCGTGTGTCTGTCCTTACCCAGGTTACCCAGCGTCAGCCTTTCCTCTTCCTTACAGAACAGGAAGAGCTGAAGAGGCTGCTGCCTGACATGGTGAGGTTTGAACCCACCTGGGAGGAGCTGGAACTGTACAAGGATGGGGGCATCGCCATCATCGATCAGTGGATTTGCGCACACGCCAGGTGCCAACCTATGCTTTTGCTTGGGGGCCACATTCACAGCATGCTCTCGTTTAGCATAGATTTCACCTCTGTGCATACTTTCCTGGTTTCCTTGCCAGTCCTGGCTCTCACTGCCTTCCTGAGTCTTGCAGTGTTCAGCTTAGGCCTCCCCTCTCCTTTCACCTTACCCTTACTCCTGAGCCCTGCCCTGATAGTTGCCCGTCTGTGGTGTGGCTGGCATCCTAAAGACACAGCCAGGAGTGTGGGGACTTGTGCTGGGGTCTCAGGCTTCAGAGGCAGGCTCAACCTTGATTACCATGTGCAGGAGACCAGAGCTGGGACTGGCAGGCTCAAGTCTGAAGGAAGACGTGAGCATGGTCACTACAGGGCGGACCCAGGTGTATGCACATGCTAGTTTTTAGGTTATAGCCTGAGGGGGTCTCCATTGGCTCTGACACTTCTAGGCTCTGAAGCTGCTAGTGCTGCCCCCAGCAGCAAGGCCCCTTTGCCTGCCAGCAGGCAGAACGTGGGCATTTTATCCTCAGGGCCTGCTATGTGTGGTACACAGTGGCTGGCAGTGTCCAGGGGCCCAAATGCTGCTCTGGAGAGCTTGGAACTTGCACTTCCCCTCTTCCCTTGGGGTCTCGAGGAAGTTCCACGGCCTCCATGTAGGGCATTGAGGGGGAAGGGCACCCGCAGCTGCAGACACCCTGCAGTCACGTCCACTGCTGAGCCTACAACTGTACTGCAGAAACATCTCAGGTGAATTGATCACTGGTGCCCTCACAGGTAGGGACCAGCGCATTCCAGGCAGAGCAGCTTGCACCTGCAGACACCAGAGCAAGGCTCTCCAGTGGCCTAAGCCACATGTGTCCATCTGTACCTAGCATGGCCTGTAGGACTGAAGTCCTGGCAGAGCCCCTGGGTACAGGTGTCAAGGGCCCCTCCCCTCCTTGTGTGACACTCCAGCACCTGCTGGCCCTGTGACTATAGGGACCTCTTTGTTCTGCAGGTTTTTCATTGGCACATCAGTCTCCACGTTTTCCTTTCGGATTCATGAGGAAAGAGAAATCTTGGGATTTGATCCCAAGACAACGTACAACCGGTTTTGCGGTGACCAGGAGAAAGCGTGTGAGCAGCCCACCCACTGGAAGATCGCATACTGAGGGTGTCTGTGCACCAGCTGCCAAGAACGTGCAGCAGAGGTAGTGCCAATCCTGGGCGACATGACCAGGTGGTGCCCCGGCCCAGGGCATCCTTCAGCTGTGGCCACATGTCACCTGTATGCTGACCAAAATGCAGGAGCTTCTCAGCTATTGCTGGGCACAATAAGGATGATGTGACAGTGGCCACCCTGTCACAGGTGGCTGCAGAGTTGAGGGAGGCCTCTAAGTGTGTGCCTCTGTTGTCTCCTGGGGTGACCTAGAAAGCGTGAGACTTGCCCACACTATACTCACCAAGCACCAGGGAGAATGAGGTGATAGGCCTGTCACTCCCTCTGTCCACATGGGAAATATGGTGTCCTCGACTCTCCTGGGGGACACTGGCCTTCCAGGCCCGCTGCTAACTGCCAAGAAGTGAGAAGTGACAGTCACACCAACCTCGGAGGCTACATCGGAGATAAGCTGCTTCACCAGTAGCTCTTTGTCCCACTTCACAGGACTCCTTTTCCAGTCTTCACTGCCACCAGTAGGGACACTTGTAGGCCACTGTAGGTAGAGTGGGCAGGGCCAGTGCAGTCTCAGGCCTGCAGTCCCCATGCCCCTGCAGGACTTCACCAGTGCTGTCACACACCGCACAGCCACTCCCCATGCCTTCTTCCCTTGTGCAGAGCTGGCAAATCCTTGTGTCCCATCCCCAGGCACCGGCAGAGCCTCCACATGGTATCACTCAGGTTGCCAGGTAGAGTGATCACATATTTATTCTTTTCCATTTGTACATTCAAATATTAATAAAATAAATTTTGTAGAAAGCTGTAAACCTAGAAATGGTGCTTTTCTTACACCTGGAATTTTGTAGGCTGAGGACTGCAGACAGTTAGGGTCATATTGTCTCTCTCCTTATAAAGTGTGGAGCATGGTGTCATTGTCACATAGCATTATGGGTGACCTCAGAGTGCCCAGAAGCAGATGGCAGTCAGGCTGGCAGAACAGCGCTGACTAACAGGTGGATGATGCAGCCCTAGGTCCCTGTCGGGATACCATGTGGCTTGGGCCTGCTCCTAGGGGACATCAACCCCTTGTCATCCACAGCACCCAGTGTTCTGTTTCCTGTCTGCTGGCTATTGAGAAGCAAGGACATCGCGACTGTAGGAAACTGAAGATGACCCATCTTGTGGCTGTGGAGAGGACGGTGTAAGCCATGTGGGTAGCGTCCTCAGGAAAGAGGCACAACAGGAATGTTGTGCTGGGTGGTGGCAAAGGCTGCAGGAGCCAGGGCAAGGCTTGCAGCTGGCCAGCAAGAGTGAAGCAGGTAGAGCAACAGTTGGGGTCACCACAGGGATGAGGGGGCCATGTGGCTATGGTCCATAGTGCTCTATGGCCCAAGGGACAAGTCAGATCAGAGTGCTAGAAACTTCAGCCACTTTTATCTCAATTTATCTGAGAGAGTAGAAAACCCTATGCATGAGGTGAGGGAGAGCTGGAAGTGAGATATGGGGATCCCAGGAGCCCAAAGCTGAGTGTTAGGAAGGGCCAAGTGTCCCCAGGGGTGACTGAGGACTGATGGCCCCAGCTGGGCAGGATGTGAGTCCTAGTGTCTGGATGTGGGTGCTGCTGGCACCCATGCCCATTGTACCCAGGTTAGGGTCAAGGGCTAGGAGCTTGGGGTTGTGGGCTGCAGGCTCACAGGGCATGATAGGGCCAGGCCCAGCCTCTGGTCAAGATGAGCCCCTTGGTGGCAGGGTTGGGTACAGCATGGCACAGTTCCATTCTGGAAGTTAGGACCTCAACATGGGACCCAAGGATGTCCTTCTCAGCCCCTGTGTAGCCCCCTTGGGCCCCTAGCTTTGCTCCACATGGGGACCCATTTTCTGTTCTTCATATTGAGGGCTGCCCAGCACAGGACACCTGAGCCTGAGGCGTGATGGTAAAACCACTCACACAGCAGGTGACAGGACACAAGGCAGGAGGGTTTGGGAGAGAACACAGGTGAGGAAGTGAGCCTCACTGCTGTACCAGATGTCCTCCCTGCAGCCTTGTCAGGTCCTGAGGGGAAGGCCCAGCTGAGTGCAGCCACCTGCTGACCAACTTCACAGGGAAGTAGCACCAGGTGCCATCTGACTGCAGGCTCCGCCCGTTACTCTTGCCACACGGGTAACAGAGGCTGGAGGCAAGAAGGGAAGGAGATGGCCTGTGACAAATTCCACCCTTGTTTCTAGCAGAGGTCCTTTCAGGACAGACCTGGTTGGGACAGGGGACCCAGCTTTGGGATCCGAGGACACCACAGGGCCATCCACATCCCCCACCTGCCCTGACCAAGCAGCCCACCCCTGCCTGGGCACAGGATATATGGGACACGAGCCTCAGACCAAAGTACAGGGACAAAAAATTCTCTGGAATTTCTAACAAGTCACAAACACAGAAACACACACACAATTCCCAAGGAGGCTGCTTCGGATGCTGGCAAAAGCCAACAGTCCCTGGAGAGGTCTGCCCTCAAGTGTCTTGGAGAGGGCCACTGCAGTAACCTGGCCCTGCTCCACAGTCTCCAACACACAGGGAGCAGGCACCGTGTGCAAGGTCAGCCAGAGTAACACACCCCTGAGGTCACTGCGGTTGATGGGTTTACAGAAAATACAAAGAGTCCTGGACTGCGACAAATGGACAAGGTACTGTCAACAGCTACTTGCAGGGCTGGAGAGATAGCTCAGCAGTCTAAGCACCTGCCTGGCAATTGCAAGGACCCAGGTTTGATCCTAAATAATGCATGTGTGCTGGCCCCATCCTGGGTATGCTGAGCTGACCACTGAGACCAGGCGTGGTGGTGCACACCTGTAATCCCGGCTCTGGGGAGCTAAAACAGGAGGATCACTATGCGTCTGAGCTGCAAAGTGAGACCCTGTACCAAATACCAAATACATTAAAAAAAAAAAAAGCCACATATAAACTGGGTGCAATAATACACACCCAGAATGAGATTGAGAAGCTGAAGCAGGGGGACTGCAGATTGATGACAGCCTGGGCAATTCAGTGAGATCCTGTCTTCAAAAGGGCTCAAGATGTAACTCAATGGTGCATCCTCCTGTGTGTGTGAGGCTTTGGCTTAATACCCCTGCTCCCCTCCAAAAAATCCCAAGTGAACATCGAATCACAAGTCAACAGCGAATGGGACACCTGAACAATGCAGTGGGCTGAGAGGGAGGCCTGGTCACAACCCAGGAATGATAGACACAGCATGGAAAGCCAAAGACTGGATGTGGAAGGAGGAGAGTGATCGTGCCAGTGCTCCTAGCTGGCATTCCAGAGAGAGGACAGCATGCCAAAGTCACTCTTGGGTAGGCTGAGACTTTTCAAGATGGGACTCATGTCTGGAAGGATGATAAATGGCAGCAGGTGAAACCACCCAAGGGTGCCCATGAAGTGGCAAAGATGGGAAGACCTGGGGCCTGATAGAGGCAGGCCTGGGCATCTAGAGACAGCAGAACTGATGTTGGCTCCTCCTCACCAGGACAGCCAGGAGGCACATACAGTGCCCAAGAAAGGTGCTGTCCACCTAGCTTTGTGTCATCACCCTAACTGTCCTTCAAGGACAAAAGCGAAATGAAGGTCCACCCAAGATGGTGATGGTAACTGGGCCTCACCATAGAGACTAAGTAGGAGAGTGTCCCAGATGATGTTGACAGGGAAGGGGTTTGTGGTGACGACACAGCGGGTACGATCCTGGTTTCCCTGCTGCCCTTCATACCTGCCTTGGATAGATCTGTGATGGACTGTACCAGGGTAGAGGTTTTGGTTGACAAACTTCTAATGGCTTCACAGCTTTGGTTCCTTTCAAAGTACCTTGATATAGCCCTCTCACAAACAGTGCTTTACAAATGATTAGTGCTACTGAAACACTGTGGAAGCCGGGAAGAGGAGCATGTGCTGTGCCCCAGCATGTGGCCCAACCCCGGGATGTAGCTTAGGAAAAGGAATGCCAGGCACGGTGGTGCACGCCTGTAATCCCAGCACTTTCAGAGGCTAAGGCATGAGTTTAAGTCCCACGTAGGCAACTTGTCTCTAAATAAAAGATAAAAAGGGGGATAGAGATATAGCTTAAGTGTGAAAGCCATAGCTTCAATCTGGTAGTACAAAAACCAAACCAAAGCAAACAAAAACTAGAAAAACAAACCTCACCAGCGATGGAATCACCATGAAGATATTGCAATAAAAAGTCTCATTGAATGTGCAACAATAGGGGGATATTTTAGTAAGTTAGAGGACTTATCCTAAGTAGACAAGCTGGAATATTAAAAAAAAAAAAAGTACAATTATTGAAATCAGGGCATTCAACAGTAAGTTCCTATTTTTAAAACTGCTACAAAGTAGCCGCAACCCCCACCCCTGCCCCACCAGCAGAGCAAGGCCCACTGTTCTCTCAGACTCGGTTCCCAACTGAGTGAAGGGAGCTATTTCTCAGGATGCAAGTGCAAAACCTTAGGACCTGCCCCTGAAGCCTTGAGAGTCTCCAGGACTGCACAAGATCTGAAGAATAACAGCAATAGCCGGAGTCAGAGCCAGAGCCAGAGCCAGAGTGAGAGCCAGGCCAGAGCAGGATTAGAAGCCAATGGCCATGACAGCTACAGGGAGATGAGCAAGCCTGCCCCGCTGTGCACCAGCCATCCTGCCCCAGACCATCAGAGCCACCCAACACTCCACCACTCTGTCATCACACCCACTGTGGCCCAGAGGGCAGCAGAGGGAGTGACCTCTTGTGTCCATGCTGGGCAACAACACAGCTCATTCCTTCTACAAAGCTAGGGATTTGCTGGTGGGTGTCAGCATTAGCTGTGGTGGGTGTCAGGCCACACTTGGTGTCACTAGGACACACAGGGAAAGGACATAATTTGGGGTACAGTGAAAAAGGAAAATTCCACAGTAGCACATGTGGAATTCCATGCAGCATCTCACAACTAAGACTCATGTAGCGTAAGACATGTGCCAGACTGGACAGCGTTTCCTCTGCAAGGACTATGGACCACCCTGCCTGTCTTTGATCTGGTTTTGTGTTAGAAGGGACTCAATGGTTTTGGATGGACACACTGCAGACCCATGGATCAGATGCTGTTGTGGAGCACCAACTCCTGGGATCCGCATGCTAACCCCACAGGTCCATCCTCAGCTGTACATGCACAGCGTCCTCTTTCTGCCCCAGCCCCCAGCCCAGCCCCTTCCAGGTGGAGCAGGCAAGTACTCAAGACAGCTGCCTTGGAGATACAGGAGGAAGGGTGGCTACAGCAGAGAGAGGTGGGCTGGGCCATTGACTACAACCTGTCTGCCCCATTACCCTCACATTCACAGGAAAACTGTCCCCAGATGCACATCCAGCCTTCCTCAGAACAGACTTCTCTTCCCCGAGGATCCTCTCCATGAGCTCACAGGGTGTCCGTACCATGTGTGCATTTCCCTTGTTTTGCCATTACCCGTGAGCTCCTGCTGTGCCTGCTGGGCTAGATTTCCTTCACTCTCTTGACTGGCTGTCCCCAAATTCGTGCTGGCAGAGTGTCAGCATGCAGGTCAGTGGGCCATGGGTGAGAGAGGTCTAAGGCAGTGCCAGATCTGGATGGAACAAACCTAGTGCCAGGGAAGGGTACAGCCTGCCTCTGTGCTGGGATTCCAGGAGTCAGCAGCAGGGCAGACACAACATGCAGAGCTCAGTCCTTCTCCACCCCACGGAGGTTAATGTACCCCTCAAAATCAGTGTTGGCATCTCAATGGAGGCGATGTGGGCAGGACTTGGGAGGATTCCCATAGCCAGGAGTCTGCACTCTACCT